CGGCCAAAACCAGCAGCTTTGAATTCATGCAGGCCATCTAGAGCCACGCTAAGTGTAAAGGCAGTACAGTATCACCTGGGGTCTGGGTCTTGCATGCTTGTCGAGGTTTAAAAAGCAATACTGTCCTGAATGGTCACATTCACAGTCATGTCAGATTCAGAACGGCTTGGTATGGTTGACTTGCTCTGCTTCCCTGAAGGTCTATCCCAAGGGACAGGGCCGTCAGTTGACTTGAGCCCCGGGCCTCAAGCGCAGCTACTGCAACATGACCTAGTTTAGCCTTGTCGGATTCAGGACATTCAGGAAAGCTCACTCTCATGCTGCCGTACCTTCTCAGCTTCACTTGCCGTCAACTCAGTGGTGCGACCATCTGCCTAGCTTCAGCTTTGCATCCGAGCACTCCTCATACTTGAAGTTGGCATAGATGGGCGTGCCCTTGCCGTCCCCGTTATGCACATCCTGCATGACTGCTTGTTCGTTCAGGGCTTAGTCTGGCTGTGTCTCTCTCTCGCCCATGTGCCGGGTCTCTCGTGCTAGTCTTGCAACTGCTCCCGCCTTGACATCCTCGAGATTTATCTCTGCTGCCTGGGAGAATCTTGTTTGCTGCAGTCAGCGCTCCCACTAGCCCAGGTGAGCAGCCGAGACCGAGGCCAAACCGCTCAATGCAGGGTTCTGGTCGGCTTTTTTGGCGAAGGAAATCTGCCTGGAGGCGCCCCCCATCGCCCCCCCAAGCCACCGTTGCAGCCGGCCCTGCTGTTGCAATTCGAAGCACCCTGCCACCCTGCAGCTCTGAGGCGTGGCGCCCTTGCTTCAGGGCTTGCTTCAGCTTCTTCCAAGCCTGCGAGACGATGTAAAGGAGTGGTCGAGAGCGCAGGCGCCAAAAAGCGCTACAGAGTCCCTGAACTCTCCTACCAGTATTTGCTCCTGTTGGTCTTAGGAAGTCAGGTTGCAAAGCGCGTGCAAACTTGCCTACTGCCGTCGGGGGCATGCGTTTCTCTTGAATACCTCCCCTGCTTGAAGGATGAGGGTTCGTCCCAATCCGACACTCCGGGGAAAACGGGCTTGCTGCTTGCCCTCGACCGGATTGCCGGAGTTCTGCACTAGCAACACAAGCCTCACAAATGCACAGATTGCGAGCGAGACTTTCGGAGCAGGAGATAGGCATGGCCGCGGAAGTGAGTTGGGGACAAAGAGCGGAGGGAAAATGTGCGCCCGAAACTGGGCCTGCCCGATTTGCTTTCTTCAGTCTGGGGCAACAACACTTGAACTAGAGTCTGACCAGAGGGTGTATGTGGATCCAGCTGGCACTGGCAATGTGTCACCTACATATTTCATGGATGTCAGCTTTTGTTTTAACCGCGATTCGCTGTTTCTGGTCTGCTGTAAATCCCAAACAAAGCTGCAAGCCTCGGAATGCGCAAATCCCGGCCTCCATCTGCGAGTGGAACCACTGGCCGGGCTTGAGGCCCGTCACCACGTGGCTGGCCTGCGAGGCCCCCAGCCACAGCATCGACGGCAAGCATCGTAGGCAAAGAGGCTAGCAACAAACAGGCCACTACGCCACCAATACAAGCACAAGTCAACGAGACGCATCTATCTGTCAGTATTACTGCTGCTACGGCAAGAGAGAAAACACCTGAAACCATCCGAGCCCGAGCCTTTCGATGCTGCTGCCAGGCCAGCAACTCTTGCTTCGCTGCTTCCTGGCCGACGCAACTCGATGCCGGCATGGAGAATAATCAACGACTGGAGAATGAAGGCGTGAACCCTGGGCCCAGCTTTCCTGCACAGACTGCCGACAGGATCAGCGCTGGGCTGGGGTCTCCACGCATCTCGAGTGGACGTCCCTGCCCGACGAATTAGACCACGCGGGCTGTTGTAGCCCTCTGCTTGGCTCCAGCTGGAGGCCAAGCACGGAAGATTACTGACTACTGCTTGCTGTCTCCATTCAATCACTTTTGCTCTTCTCCTCCGGCTCTTCTTCTTCTTCCGCAGGCTTGAAGTAGCCCCGCACAGTTCGAGCCAGAAACCACGCAAGGAAACACCTTTGCAGGTCACAGGATTTTCGGAACTCAGGAGGGAGGCGGCAGGATTACATTGTGCAATCATGTTCTCTTGGTGCTGCACGCGCCCACGCCGGCAGCTAGCCGCTGCAACGCCGGCTCGTCAGCGGACTTCATCTCGAAGGGCAGGTTCGCCGGCAGCCGCGCAACTCTTTTTGTCAAGACCTGCAGCTTCCAAAAGCACAAAGACCGTTGGCAAGCATCAGCTGCACTGGTTACTTCGCACCTCGCAGGGGTTTCAGGGGCTGTACTGTAAGTGTGTGTGAAGTCAGTGGGCCTGCCCAGACTCCGAAAGCTCCAGCTTGACGTACTCTGCCAGGTCGCACTTCTCCAGCAGCACGCCTACCTGGGTGTCGAAGGCAACTGCCCTGTGGAAGCAGACCACCAACCCATCCGACCCATAAAACCAAGCAGCGTAGAGAACAGCAGCCTTCCAGTTCCCCACGATGCTGAATCCACAGACCCCCGCGACCAGGGAAATCCATACTGGGACCAGCAGCAAGCCTGCAGGCTGCCGGATGCTGCCGGCCTCTGATCTCATTATTGGCCAGACATCGACATCCCAAGGACTGCCTACCATCCCGTCCAGCGCCCAGAGCGCCAATGCGATGCCAGCGAGGCCACCACGCTGGAGCAATGCGAAGTCCTGCTGATTAGGAATGACCCTTGAGTCTGGAATCCGAGTCGAAAACAGATGCACCGAATCAGACAACGCTGACTGACGACCGAGTCGAAATCAAGAGAGACCGGACAGAAAATGCATTTCCGGAAATGATAGCTTTTTCATTTCAACATCTTCCGACGAAGAACACAACTCAGTCCCAAGCCGTTGGCATGCAATAAAACTGTCACGAAAAGCTCTTGGGGAATTCATGGCAACATCGTCGCCAGCTGTGTTCTTCATCGGCGAAAGCGCTGGCCGCATTGAAATTGTCGCGAAAAGAGCCCTCTGGGACTTCATTGGAGATCTTCCGACAGAGAACCAAGCACAGTCGCGACAACGCTGCGGGAGCTCGATGGGAAAGTAGGGCCGTCGTTTGCGGAGTTGCCACACGAGAAAAGACGGGACTTCATGGTCAACAACATCTTCCGACTCAGAACCTAGCACAATCAGGACTTAGCCGGAAATGAGAGATGATATATCGACTACACCGAGTCATGTTTAAGGCGCTGCACGTTTCCTTGTGGGGGGATGCATGTTTTCGACTCGCCGCCTGGATTTCCGGTTTCGACTCAGCCGGCCGGATTCAGATGCGTGTTTCCAGACTTGATTGAGACTCTGCTATTGGCTGATGATTGCCACGGGTGAATTCTGAAAGGGTGGCTGGCCGGCGCCTTCGGGCAACGTTCGCCTTTCTTCAAACCTTTCATCCCTAAAAGCGGCGCAGCAGTCCTTGCCGCGGGCTTCGAGCACTGTCTTCACGCTCGCCTTGTCCTGGCCTCAGACGGCGAGGTTGCAGGGGAGAAGAGACAGCACGGCATAGCACATATGCTGCCAGGTCGGGTCGCCCCATTTCTTCAGTTCCTGCTCGAACACGGGGTTGTCCAGGGCTTGCATGAAGACCTGTTCCGACCCTTCCAAGTGCATGTGCGTTGGAAAGGCAATGCCCACCCACACACCTGCGAATGATGCATTGGCTTTCTGCCTTGTAGTGCATGATGGCGAAGCCTGCTTGTAGGACGGCCTTCGTCGAGCGAATTGTGTGTACATCAGCAGACAGTGCTCTCCTACAGGAACATTGACAACGGCAGGAGATCACAACCAGAAACTAAAAGTAGTATGCCGGTATGCCGCCCAGGAGCAGTCGCGATGAAGAGCCCAACGAGCAACAGCAGCCGAAACGGAAGTCGCAGATTTATCGGTTGTCCAATCCTCGTCGGCATGGCGATGAGGGAGGCAGAAACTTTCTCTCCAACTTGCGCTCGACGTCAGCAGCCCTAGAAGACTTGTAGTGTTTGCGCTTGCATAGACGTCATGCTCCTGGTCTGTCGTGGTTTCTGATGCTACCTAGCTACTTCAGGGCCAACGGCGTTGTCAATCAGAGCCCACGGTGCTGGCAGAGAGGCAGCTTTTCTGAGAGTGCGGACATGCTGCTGTCATGCACCTACCTTGAGCATACTGACTTTCAACTCCGAGCGGCACGAGACTACCGAGATATCAGTCAGAAATCGCCACTGGTCTGTTCAGGTTGAAAACACTTGGCACATCCTGGCGACTTGGGCCGACCAAACCCTCAAACCAGGACAAGCACAATGATGGCTCGACGAGGACATGATTCATCGGGAATAATTAGATCATGACGCGCAGTGCACCCTCCTACTTCGCTGACTCAACGAGCTCACCAGGAACTAGCGGACCTCTACCGAAGCCTCGGGCGCAAGACCCTTTACAACACGGTCTTTGCATCTGAGCAGTGTTGAAAAATGCTCATCGCCTGACGCTACATTCAAAAGATTTAGCAGATCCAGTGCAATATCATGCAGCTTCCCTCCGTGGGACATGTGGCAAAACCTCTGAGACATACCTCTGTACAAATGTGGCAAGGTCACCGCGTGGCATCACTCTGCGGTCTACTTGAGAGTTCCACCGGTGAGCAGCTCACGCGATGGATGCGGGGAGTCTGCCTACTGATATCTTTGGTGAAGCGGCCAAAGTTTGAATCAACTGCCAATTCGTAGATGGGTGCATTTACTTGTGATGGCTATGGAGCTCCGCGAACCCTATCACACACAATTGAAACTGCAGATGCTGAAAGACGGAAGTGCAGCGTCTGTAGCTTCACTTCTGGAACACTTGAGAAGTACGTAGTAGTATGTAAGCAGTTCACCGGCGAACTGGCACGTAAAGCCATGTACTGTAGTATTAGTAGGGCTGTCAGTCAAATTCGGGGTCACTTTTGAAGGACCCTGATGGTGACGAGTGCTGACAGTCTAACATCAGCAAGATCTGCGCGAGCGACAGGGGCAGAAGCCACGAGGAGGCGGCGGCAGTGCACCTGACTCTCTCAGGAATCGAGACTCCGGACCAAGTATGCGTGCTCAGCATCATGAAAGATGGCAAGCAGAGTGATCGTGCCACAGGCTGGGGTTCCATGAACTTGGCCGCACGGCCATAACCCTCGTTGACGCTAGTGCCGGGCATCTTTATAGTCTAACACTACAGAGGCCGGAGCTCCAGCCTGTGTGCCCACCACCACCCGAGTTGATGCTCAAGTACCAATACCAATGGTCGAAATCTTCAGCAAACCCATCTGACTTACCAGGCAGGCTGCGAACAGTGTCCTGATAAGACTGGACTGGGCCCGGCTTGTCCACCGCTGTCCGCTGCCCCACATCACCTCTCCACACCAAAAAAGCTCGCAAAGCAAGAGGATGGAAACGATCCAGGTGCCAAGCAAGGAGCGGAGAGTCCGAGGCAGGCAGAGTCGTGCAGGGAACATCCGATTCTCATCCCAAGGACTATGACTAGCAGTTCTCAGTCCCAGACGAACCCAAGCAAAGCCGAAAGCCGAGCTGCAGGGCAGCATCTTTGGGACAGCACCCGGCCCAAGCGGGTCACGGTTCACGTCCATGACATGCCGCAGGATCCCCGCAGAGCTGCTTCCTTGCAGCTCCTGTCGACACGACAGGCATCACGGCATCACAACGCAGACTGCTCCAGAGTACGCATCTACATATAAGACCATAATAATTACTATACTACTAATTATATATAGTAATATAATACTAGTATACTATAATACTATAGTACTATATATTACGATAATACGAATACGATGTAGGATCTTGGTGTTAGATGGCCTTCCGCCCAGGCTCGGATCCCGGATGGCTCTACAGGCAGCACTTTTGAAGGGCAATCTCCAATTAGAGAACGACTACCCTAAACCCTAAACCCTATATCACGCCTCCGCAATGGATTAACTGCGTCAAGAGAAGCTTTGGCATGACAACAGGCCGGCTCCTCGACGGCATCAACTGCTTTTTTCGCAGATAGGAAGCGAACCTTCTTCTTCGTCGCTGCTGGCAGCAAAGGATATATAACGTTCCACACAGGCTGCAGGCCCAATGGCGCATCCACCATCATCACCTCCGCTGTCTGGCGCCACGCGCACACTGTAATTCTACAAATACCACGGGCCTTCCAACCAGACTACCCGAGCCAGCTTCGAGAGACAGACAACATTGCTTGGAGCGCCAAACTCTCCTTCGCTGAAGACTTCGACAACAAGTCATCAGGGATTAAAAAATCGTTCCTGAAGTGTTGTCCAACTACTATCCCAAGCGCATGTAGAGACACGTGAAGGGACGATCCTTCCACAAAAGAAGCAGCTCTAGGCTCTTCTCCTTTGCAACGTCCCTCGTACTACCGCACACCTACCCCAGCACCTGATGAAATTGCAACCTTGGCTTCGGACATATCATTTTTTAAACGCCAGGAAATTTTCTGAGGCACCCACTAGTCGCAAGCGATCCCGATAGGGCTGCCGGAGAAGCTCGGCAATCCCAATCCTTCAGCCGGGAAGGCTCAGGCTGAGCCACACTGACAAATAACTCGGAACATGGACGCTCAGCGGCCATTCATTTGGTCAAAACTGAGTCAAGACCAAGGAACTCCGCTCGTATGGACAACTACTCATTGCATGCATTTCTGATTGAGCTGATGTGGCATGGGTGCAGATGGTTCCTAGCATCCGGCCAAGACGGTGGAAGTGGGTGTGACTCTGACCGGGAATGAGGCAGCACCACAGGGCTTTGTGCAGACCAGCGCGGAGGCCCGGAGTGGAGGTCGAGAGTGCTTTGGGCAGCTAAACAAACACGAGACCTACCTCGACATATGTGCTTCAGGCTCTTGGTCTTAGTCAGTGCGTGCTTCACGGTGCTGGCTGGTTGAGGTATTGACGCAACACGACATCACGTACGTCGGATTCAAATTGCTGGATCTCCACAGCCCATAGCTACCAATGAACTCTGACGGCGGCGACTGAAGACTCAAATGCTGCCAAGGAGTCACAATTCTAGGGTCCATATTGTACCAAAGGCAGAAGCCATGACAGTCGATCACGGCATCCACCTGTGCGGCGGCGTCTCAGATTCCAGTCCAGTATCCAACAAGTTTCCATAAAGCGGACGAAATCCCGCCCGTCTTTGTGATACTCTCAGGCAGATTTGATTTTGGGGATACTCGGCCCAACACTCTACAAATTGAAAGTGCCAGTGGCCTGCTGCACCCCGGCAGGCATTTTCTGCACGGCAGTCTCCAGAACACAAGCGACATGGTCCAAGGTGTCGGAGACGCTAAAGCTGCATGTCTGATGCCTGCAGCACCTGCAGGAGAGCTGGCATCAAGTTGAGTTCAGCAGAGCATCCTTGCCAAGACTCTTTTGCGTCTATGCACGCGCAGACGCTGCTATCAGATATCAAGCGTCTTCCACGCAGCAACCAATCGACGGACCCCTTCCACTCGCATTTGTGCGTGCGGGGCGCAAGTAAAGCAACGGATGCCCACGCTGGCCCTGGGCCAGAATACGAAGATCGCCTTGCCACTTCGGCGCACGCCTTCCGGTAAGAATGTCCTGGCAAGAGCTCGCAAGTGCTTGTGACATCTTCCGAAAGGAATGCTTGGAGTTGGTTAGCAAGCAGCATGCTGACACTGAAACACGAAAAGCTCGCTCCTGGTACTGCTCGCGCCAAAACAGGGCCTGCGCCAATATCTGTGCTGCCGCAGCCACATCTCCATGACGGCCACGAAGAAATATGGAAACCACCTACCAAAAAAATCAAGGTTCAGCAACCAGCACATTGAGCATGTTACTCTCTCTTCCTCTTTCTTGCTCGTTCTTGCAGCAATCAGCGGCTCTAGCATCTGGGGATTCATGGAATTCCAGCCGGGACGCAGGTACTTTGGGGGCATGGGATCAAAACCCTTGGCGCCCCACCGCCCCCAGGTTGGCTCGCTTCTTCCCGGACATACAGGGAGCAGATAAGGCTGAGCGCTAAGGGTCCCCCTCGTAATTAACCGCTTTAACGGCAGCTGATCCTTTCAAGTCAAAGGAAGCATGCATAAATTGCCTTCTATCCCCCGTTCGAAGCAGCAGCGATATCAAAGCAAAGGACTACCAGGGGGCGCACGAAGACTTCCTTTCATCTCAATATATTGTATTTGCCCGACTTCAAAATAAGTGTGCTTGATCCAAGCCCCAACTGACAACAAATTAATCAAGCAAAAGTAGAACTCTTTCCGTATCGTTCCTTCTTTCTGAGGGGCTACAAGAGGGGTCTGCCCCTCCCTGCGCTAGAGCCCACCCCCGTTTTGGAGTGGAGCGAGCCGAAGAGACATGGTAGGACACTACCGGTCATGCCATATCTTCCTCTGCACAGCAAAAGGAAAGGGCGGATGCACCCGCTCTCGCACGCATGCGCCCTGCTGCTTCAAGTTCGATGTGAGCTTGCCTTACACGAGATGAGGTACGAGCCCTGAACACTAGGACTGAAGAACCCGTGGACTCGCGCCTCGTCTCGCTGCGCCCCGAACATTCGGGGGGTGTGCTGTGTCACGTCATACGTCCGGCTCTTATGCTCTCTTTGCTTTGCTTCGCTCGGGGTTTGAGGCAGGAGCAGTCCTCCCGCCCCGCACGAGTGCGCTACCCCATCCATCAGTTGGTTTGCGCTCTCTCTCTCTCTCTCTCTCTCTGGCTCTTTCTGTTTCTGGTGGGCGGGATGGACCTTCCGTATGTCTCTGCTTTTAGCGCCCGCAATGTGGCTCCTGCAGTACTTACTCAGCGACGGCAAGACTTCTACGAGATGGATCTAGGTACCACAATTATACGCGCCACATTGGTGCACACATGCCTCTTGACTGCGCACTCGTTGCAACAAAATACTGACAATCGTTGCAGCGAGCAGGACAGTGCAAATGGTGGTATGATAACGTCTGTATGCATGCATACTATGCTGCAAATGCGGCGCGACCGCAAGCCAGCAATGGGTGCAAGCACAAACAATATGGCCAAAGTTTCCCGCGGCAGCATACACTGCATTCAGCTCCTGCCGTAGTTAGCAATGGCACAACGGTGCCACAACCCTGTGAAGACCTGCATGCTGAAATCAATCTCTATGCGTGCAATTTGCTGGGCATGCAACACGACTGCAAGCCAGCAATGGGTGCAAGCACAAACAATATGGCCAAAGTTTCCCGCGGCAGCATGCACTGCATTCAGCTCCTGCCGTAGTTAGCAATGGCACAACGGTGCCACAACCCTGTGAAGACCTGCATGCTCAAATCAATCTCTATGCGTGCAATTTGCTGGGCATGCAACACGACTGCAAGCCAGCAATGGGAGCAGGCACAAACACTCTCGCCAAAGTTTCCCGCGGCAGCATGCACTGCGTTAAGCTCCTGCCGTAGTTAGCAATGGCACAATGCCCTCAAGGCATGTGCAGCCAACACAGTGCGTGGGGGGTGTGAGATGCTGTGTATGCATGCATACTATGCTACGAATGCGGCGAGACCGCAAGCCAGCAATGGGTGCAAGCACAAACAATCAGGCCAAAGTTTCCCGCGGCAGCGTGCACTGCATTCAGCCCCTGCCGTAGTTAGCAATGGCACAACCGTGCCACAATGCTGTGAAGACCTGCACGCTGAAATCAATCTCTATGCGTGCAAGTTGCTGGGCATGCAACACCAGGCACAAACAGTCTGGCCATAGTTTCCCGCGGCAGCATGCACTGCAGTTAGCTCCTGCCGTAGTTAGCAATGGCACAATGCCCTCAAGGCAAGTGCGGCCAGCACGGTACGTGGGGGGTGTGGGATGCTGTGTATGCATGCATATTATGCTACGAATGCGGCGAGACCGCAAGCCAGCAATGGGTGCAAGCACAAACACTCTGGACAGAGTTTCCCGCGGCAGCGTGCACTGCATTCAGCTCCTGCCGTAGTTAGCAATGGCACAACGGTGCAACAAGACCTGCACGCTGAAATCAATCTCTATGCGTGCAATTTGCTGGGCATGCAACACGACTGCAAGCCAGCAATGGGTGCAAGCACAAACAATATGGCCAAAGTTTCCCGCGGCAGCATGCACTGCATTCAGCTCCTGCCGTAGTTAGCAATGGCACAACGGTGCCACAACCCTGTGAAGACCTGCATGCTGAAATCAATCTCTATGCGTGCAATTTGCTGGGCATGCAACACGACTGCAAGCCAGCAATGGGTGCAAGCACCAACAATATGGCCAAAGTTTCCCGCGGCAGCATGCACTGCATTCAGCTCCTGCCGTAGTTAGCAATGGCACAACGGTGCCACAACCCTGTGAAGACCTGCATGCTCAAATCAATCTCTATGCGTGCAATTTGCTGGGCATGCAACACGACTGCAAGCCAGCAATGGGAGCAGGCACAAACACTCTGGCCAAAGTTTCCCGCGGCAGCATGCACTGCATTCAGCTCCTGCCGTAGTTAGCAATGGCACAACGGTGCCACAACCCTGTGAAGACCTGCATGCTGAAATCAATCTCTATGCGTGCAATTTGCTGGGCATGCAACACGACTGCCAGCCAGCAATGGGTGCGAGCACAAACGATATGGCCAAAGTTTCCCGCGGCAGCATGCACTGCAGTTAGCTCCTGCCGTAGTTAGCAATGGCACTGAACTGTGGTGAGCTCTCTTGAGCCTTAATTGTCAACTGCGAAAGCCGACACAGTCACCAAGTGAACCAGAAAAAGCTTGAGCCGGAATGAGCTACCTCCGCCGGGCCTCCTCGGTGCACCAACTACGCTGCCAGTCACTTAATTCGCCCCCCAGGTTCTCCGCCGCTGTTGCAACCACCTGGGGCAGGCCAGGTTCATACATCGGACGCTGGATTAATCCTTCAACAACTCGCCTCGCTGCGACAATGTCTCTAAAAACCTGCGATTGCACCAGCAACCCAGCAAGTATCCCTGCTGTTGCATAGCATGTCGGCATGGGCCGAACAAAGCTTTTCGGAGTCCCTTCAGAGTCGGGTTGGGTCTAGCTAGCGGAGGACGCAGCACCCTTTAAACTGCCTGGCAGATGGGTGAGTCGCCGGCTGTAAGCACCTGTGGCAAGGCTCGTGCGTTCCGTGGTCTAATCTAGCAGCTCGCAGCTCGAATTTGCAGATCACAAAGCCAACTCGAGACGAGGAGGGAAGTACCAAGCAGCAGGAGCAGCGCACATGAAACAAAGAAGTCGCAACAAGCAAACACCTTTACCCCTTTGCTCCAGATAACTCTGCAATCAAGGGGTCTTTGTGTTCTTCTGAACCTTGCTGCCTTTTTTGGAGCGCCCAAGTTAAGTGCCTGCCGCTTCTTGTGGAAACTTTCGCGTCTCGCAGCAAGGTTCTACAGTGTTCTACACACACCGGATGCATGGCCCTTGACGTGTTCGAGACAGGATTTTGGCTACCAACAACACCAGAGACCCACATGTGTACTGTCGATGCCCGAATCATGGAAGATTCAAGAACTTGCCTCTCCCTGCACAGGCTGCTCGTGAGTCTTTGCAAAGGGCCGGTCCACATAGCAGCACACGGAAAACATGCTTTTGAAGCTCTCCGGTGCAGCTACAGCTCAAGGGTTTAGGGCCTCATGGCTTAGAGTCTTAGAGGGCTTATATGAGGGTTTTTGGTTTCTGACGATGCGGAGTGGGAGGCCCCAGGGCTTGACGGCCCACTGCCGCGGGGACAAGACTTGGTAATTAGGGCATCTGGCTCTCCGCTTCGTTCTGGGTGTATGACAGGCAGCATCGGGCCCAGCATCAGAAGTCGCTTGAACATGCCGGAGAGCCGCATGGCCATCAGTCATCAAAGCTTTCCGAGCTCATGGCGCACTGATTTCAATTTGTGCGCAGTGCAAACGACCGCATGGGACCCTCGCGTCGGGCGCCAGTTCTCATCACACTGAAACACGGCGCCCTGGCCTCACCGGCCCATTCATACCGGACCTCGTCGAAACCTCAGCGAGCTGATTATTGCCGCATTGTCCCCACCTTCGGCAGGGATAATTCCCTGGAAATGTTCTGCTAGTCTGCAGGTGACAACCGCACTTCGCGTTCCACATGCGTTGTCGTTGCCAGTAACCGACGTGACAACAATCGTTCTCAGACCCCACAGACAAGCCTGCAACTGTTTGTCAGCAACGCAGGGAGACCCCTGCAAGACATCTCACAAGCTTTTGCATATGGGGAAACTCGACAAAGCCCTGCTTTACTTAAAGGGTCACGGGACATAGTGACTAGGGCTAAACATAAATAAGGTAACTATACTTATAACTATTAGTCATTAGTAACTAAACTAGGATTACATATAAATAGGATTAATATACTTATAACTACGGTTGATGATATAAATCCTGCATGACCCACAACAAGGAACATACCATAATTCCCAGAGTTTAGGGTCCTTAAGGTCATGCAGGATTTACATCATCAACAGTAATTATGACCTCGTTTAAGGTACCAGCCTTCAGCTCTGCTCGGCAAGGTGAAGCGAACGAATTCGCCCAGCGCCCTGCTTTACCAGGGTGGAGGGTCATGGGTTTAGGGCCTAAGTTTAGGGAGGATGATGTCGGCTTGAGGCCTGAAAGCGTTTTGGGGTTGAGGTCTTTTCGGCTAAAGCGTTGGGATGCGGATCCTGGGAATCAGGGCGGGAAGAACACTTACCCTGCTGGCGTTGTTCTGAAGTTGTTCCCGGAATTCTGCTGTTGACAACATCGGAACCTGCTGCATGCTAAATCGCGGGCAGAAGCTACGCAAGCTAAGTTGGTCTTGGTTGGTGCAGGTCATCGAGGCTCAAACTTTGCTGCAAAGTTAGAACAGGAGGCCGCCAGACGGCTCAGCTTCCCCAAGCAGACCCCGCCTAGCAAGTTGCGAGAAAACCCTCGGGCCATGGCTTGTCCAGAGCATCCGGCACGCCAGAGCAGAGCGTCTCGGAAGCCTTGTCAGCACCGAAGCCTTCTGATTTTGCTCGGAAGGTGATGGAGATCACTGGGGGGTGCTGATCTCTCTAGGTCTAGTCGTTCATCTTTTATTCTGCGATGCCGAATGCACTAGGCGAACTCATGCACACCACAAGGCCTGTAGCACCTGCTAGTCAACGGCTCGCTGGACATGAAACCAGAGTGCAAGAACAGTTCCTGTGTGACACCCTCCGTGACCCAGTGAATCCCACCTCGTCTGGCAGCTCTTCGGCAAGCACCTGCAACAGGGACAGGAGTGCCTGTGCAATGCTTTCCTCAATTCAACCGGAGCATTCTGTCGGCTCCGAAGGCCACCGTTGCCGATGCTGGCTCCACTGCTTCATTGTCCCTCGGCCTGACATATCTACCCTCGCGGCGAGTCCCTGCCTTCTTGGTTTCAATGTCGGCCCTGCCCAACTGCACACGACGTAAGCAAGCTGGAAAGAAGTGCAACCGCATGAACAAGGTGTACAACCGGGAATATTCTGGTTGAGAGATTTTGGGGTGGCTTTAATCTGGTTTCTGAGTTGACAATGCATGCAATATGTAGGAGCAGTTGGCAGCTACCCGTTTGTTGACGCCGGCAGAACACCTCGCCTTTGCCGCGTCTTCACCCACTCTCGAAAGTCTGCCGGAGGGCTGCCGAGGAGCACCGCGGCAATCTGTTGGATGATGCAACGGATGGATAGAAAAGGGTGCGCAGAGTTTCGGGAGCTCGTGACCGCACAGACCCACATTAGATTAGATCCATTTATTTTTTTAGAGCCCAAGCAATCCAAACCCCCAAACCCGACGCATAGTCTGAACAGCCACAATCAACAACGGTCGCACCTTTCGGGCATCTGGATGCTGCTGCAACAGCGCTCGTCGCTCGGCCTCTGAGCACGGGTTTTTCTTGGGGTGGCTTCGGGCGTTCGCCTCAGGCTTCCAGGCCAACATGAGCTTCGGTCCGCACTTTGACGCCTCGCGTATCCACGCCCTAGGCAAGCTTCACGATGCTTCAAGGACCCTGCCTTTGGCTGAGATTGGAAAACTCATGCACGTGCAAGAGGACTCAGACGCTTCGCGCGAAATACTGGCCTCATCTAGACTCAAGCTTGGACACACGGGTCGCAGCGAAGTTGCGTGATTGTCACATAGACTCGGGGATTTCTCCCCCGATAACAATCAAGCAGGTGGGAGACGATCGCTTTGCCAGGATCTCCTCCGGGTCCGGGACATGCTTTCTTGAACCACGCCCAGGCTGAAGGTGCGAAATACTCCGGAGCTCATGACGGCCTCTAGCAGGGCGCGCGAGCTCAGCCGATCAGCGGGTCAGACTTCAGCCGACCGTGCTGCATCGCCGCCCAGTTGCGCATGACAGCCAGGGCCTTTCCACGCCGAATCTCTTCGACCTCTCGGCAGAAAACGTAAGTCTGTTCTTGAAAACTGCAGGTTTCGATCCAAGCTCTTCAGGACCCCATGACCCCATGCCAGTAGAAACTTCTTAAACACACGGGAAGTTAAGGAGGAGCCTTCGACTCGCCAGGCAAAAAGCAAAAAATACCTGGAAATATCCTGCCTGCCTGCTTACCCTAAGGCTCCAAAGCAGTTCCTTTTTGGGGTTCATATATAGAATCCTGTAAGGTAACTTTTTGGGGTTCATATATAGAATCCTATAAGGTAATCCCAAAAAGGAACTACTATGGAGCCTCTGGGTAAGAAACAAAGTGGGCCTCGGCATGATGCGCAGTCCTGCCAGGTAGCGAAACTGCTAAGGCTAAGGTGACAGGGGAAGACGAAGATCGTAAAGGAAACAGAGGTGCTCTCATCCCTTTCTTTTTCTATCTTTTTACGATTCTACAAGTTCTACTGATTCTACTGAATATTCTTGCTTCTACTTACTTCTACTGGGAATTATCTTGTTAAGATTACTTGCCATTGTGAATATACTTCGGCAAGCACTGGGACGACCGTCCTCCTCAAGGAGCTAATCCTTTCATGCGCACCACCTGAGCCGAGCTGGGCACTTCTGTGTCTGGTATGGCCCAATACACAGAATGGTCATGCATGGTCATGCAGAAGGGTCCAGGGAAGGAATGGGGGTAGGGCGGCTTTGCGCATGACGAGGCGGGCCGACTTGCAAAGCTAACAGACTGCCTTACGTCGCCCCCTAAGCCGAGACGACGAACTCCTTGCATCTTCGGAACTCTTCAGGGCGAGCTGCGCCTCAGCACTGGGACCAACATGCCATGAAAAGCCCGGTATGATTGCAAGTCGCTGCAAAAGGCCTCCTGCATTGTGCCACTCTGTCTTCAGACAGCAACCAGGAAGCCGAATTGGATAGTGATCTCCAGGCCCCAGGCCGGAACCAGCTCTGCATCGGCGCGCCGGTGCGCTGCCGCAGTAGCGGTGGCCGCCGCGATCTGCAAAGATGAGTTGAACATTTTGTCTCGCTGGGGGGCCTTCAACGTTGCAGCAGGAGGCCTTCTTTCATGAATCGAACCTTGATTTCCTTCTCTGGATGCTCGTTCGCTTCGCTGAGCTTCTAGAAGCATGTATGTCCAACCGCCACAGTGGGCTGATTGCAAGCCGCGCGCTCGTGGAGGCACGCACACACACACACACACACACACACACACACACCAAAGACTTTGTAACTCTCGAAGGCCTCAGCGGCATGCTCGGCACGGCTCGTGCCTGTAAGCACGTCATGTCAGGAAAAAAGAAAGGCAATCATATCCGACTCAATTGGATCACAGGTGAAGCCAGGGAAATCCCATTCGTTCCAAGATCGTATCATTCGTTCCGGTTGCATTTGTTGGATCCAGCACCTTAAGCCTCAAACCCTCCGTGCCAGTGAGGTGCCGGTCAAGGATGAGGCCGGAGGACACCTTCATTGCGTGACGTTCACAGCGGCAAGACACCGACACCGTCTGTTGCGATCTCCCATCATGGACCGTCTGCCGGCGAGTGTCTGGTAATCGCCAGACGGGCGCCTCAAGTTCAACCTGGTACCTCAAGTGGAGATGCTAAACGCTGCTCATGAAAGCTCAAGCTGGGAACCGCATGTATGACAGCTTCATTCGACAGAGGTGCTGCCCGACTCTGTTTCGTGGAAGGTGGTCTTGTTGTTGATATGAAGCAGACCATCATCCACTTGTCCTCAGCGAGACAGCAAAGATGTAAGCTGCAGTCAAAACTTAATCACAGCCAAAGCAGATTGTCCCGTCCTGGCAGTTGCCCGGCAGGTTCTGCCATTTCGGCAGGTCCCGTCTCAGCTACACCGGCGCTCAGCTGGGACACCGGGCTAAGGCTACCTCAGGCTGCAGGAGTCCCGAACTCAGTACCCACATCCGACAAGCAAAGGGGCAGTGACAATGACAGTCTTCGCTTGGGCAACGAGCATGCAGGCGCCAGTGCGATCATGGCACCCACCCCAGCAAAGAGGGACTTCAGCATGTCATCCTCCGTTTTGGGCTCCTTGGCATTGTCGACCTGCGGGCTTTGAACCAGCCGCGTGGGTGCACACCGTCCACTGCGATTGAGCTCCATCTACTGCGGGGAAGTAGGCCTTGGTTGCCGCATGCAAAGAACTTTGCCTGCACGGTATATGAACCGCAAAGACCCCGGAATATTCCCCGTTCCTCGCATCTCAACCTTACCCCTGAAACCCGCGCGAATGCCTCAAGAACACCCTCATCCCAAGAGAGCCTCGGCTGTCTCCAGGCCCATGGCACGCAGCCCTGGCACTGACTCGAGCTCCAGGCCTGGGTTTTTCTCAAGGCCCCGGGCTGTGGGATCTCTCGCGATGGCTCCCGGCCGGGGCTTCTGAGATCTCTGCTTGCCGATCCCAGTCCGAGTACTTCGGGTGCGGCGCTGGCCAGGCCTCGGCTTCCGCTTTTTAGAGGCGTCTGACATATTATAGCAACTTCGTTCGAATTCCTCCAAGAGAAGCTGTAGCTGCGGTCAGGTGACTGCGACCTCGTCTCCATTCCGCGCGGCCGGAGCACATACGCGGGGCTGCACTTGGCCTTTGTCGAGAGATGGCCAGAGGTATTGCAGGCCAGCAACTCACTCTCGTGTCGGCTGCTGCTTTTCCGAACTCCGAGAGCGGCACCACACTTCCTCCATCTCCTGCATTCGTCGATCAGGATCCACCTGGGTGATGACGAACCCTCTTTCTAGACATGGTGCAGCGAGACAATACGAAAGAACGAAGGAAAGAGCGAGAGAGAGCTCACGTCAAAGGGTGTGGCGGAGGATTTCGCTGGCCGCTGCGTCGTTGATGCCTCACGCAGGAGGTCGTTCGTCCTGGCCATTCGATAACTTTTGCTGGGTCAGCATTGGCACAAAGCCTGGGCCTAGAAACGAGATCGATACTTTCACAAAAAGCGAATGTCATGATTTGGGCCTCGATTCTCGGATTCTGTGTCACTGTCTTCAATTTTCCGCCTCTCTCCCTCCCTCTGTAATGTGGAACCGCCTTGGCTCCGGTTTGGGCGCCGCAGTATTCCGCTGTCGAGGCCTCGAAGGAACGAAGGAGGCCATCAGCATCCGGTCAAAGTTCATGGCTGTCAGCTCTTTGGCTGATGGGCCACGTACCACCAAGACGACGGAGGGATTCGTAGATGCCTGCACCTATACAGCTTAACATGGGTGTGCGTTCGCTAGGTAGGTAGGTAGGTAGGTAGGTAGGTAGGCAACTAGGTCGACGGTCGGTAGGTAGCTAGGATGTGGATAGGTACGTAAGGCAAGGTAAGGTGAGAAGGTTGGTGTTTTTCCAGCAATGATAGCAACACCTAATCCATGGATTCACTTAGACTTCAACTGTGGTCTGTCACCTTGGTGTCTGCGTCGAAAAATGCTGATCAGGTGAGCTACAGCGCATAGCGTTCATGTGACCTGAAAGCAGCTGAGAGGGCGAGCACTCACGTGCAGAAGCTACCATCCTCGTGCTAGCCCAGCAGATCTCCGCAACATGGGAGGAATGGCGACCCTGTCCTGTCACCCCCCCCCCCCGCATCCGCTGCGCGCCTCCAACAAACCAAGACCGACGCTGCTTCGGACAAGGCCTCGTGATGCGCCACGCCCGACACTAAATTAAGATCTTACCAGGAAGATAGTAGGAGTAATAAGCCATCAAGAACTTGTTATTCCGAAGCAGTCCCAGGCCCTGATCACAAGATCCCCGCTTTTATCGTTCGACCGGCTTTGTGCCACCAGGACAACTGTAACATGCTTGAGGCTTGAGGATGATGTTGAAGACGCTGAAACTATAGTCCCAACACTGGAGCAGCCGATGGTTTGATGTGGTGAAAGATGTTACGGCTGATGATATACATCCTGCATTACCCATAATGATGGATATGCCATAATTCTCATAGTTTAGGATCCTTAAGGTAATGATTTATCTCATCAACCGTAGTGACTGGGCTCCCAGCTGCGGCCGCTCAGCCGAAGCAGGGTTCCAAGCGTTTGCCGTGCCTGATTCAGCCAAAGACTGTCATAGGTCAGGAGGTTGCTTCGGATTCCCGAAGAGGAGAGCTGAAAACCCGAATCAGAGAGCTTGAAATCTCCATTTCAGGACTTAATTCGGATTCCTCTCTGAGAGTGGGGGCATGAACGTTTGCACATCCCTGCAGAGCACACTTACAGAGATGGAGTGGGCCTCGGGGTCGAACTCTCCGAAGGCTTCCAGATCCGGCTCATCGCTGGAGTGCTCAGGGCCAGGTGCCCTGCCGCCACGGACGTTGCGGCTTCCCAGCTCCACGAAAGATCCCAGGAAAGCAAGGCCTACTCCGTTCGAGCCCGCTGGACAAGCACCTGCCACGGGTTGCCGCGTCTCGTGGCGGGCTAGCGGCGAGCGGCTAAACCTCTCAAAACTGCAGCCAGCATGGCCACTCTTCTATCATCCCGTCACCGATCTCCAGAACATCTGGGTTCTCCTTCCGAGGCGCATTTAAGTATCATTTAAGGGTCTTTCACGTCAGGTCCAGGGGCTCCCTGGGCAAAAGCATTGCGCTCGCATCCGAGTTTTCGTCGGGATATCGGCTAAGTGCGAGGTGTCTTTGCAAAAGTCACCGTCAAAGGATCGCCAGCACGAGCCTTGGCGAGGCAGCCATCAGCGTCAAGAGCAACTTCCCTTCTTGCGTGAAAAGCTGTCGGTTTCTTACCGGTTAGGCTCGACTGGGGAGAGGTAACCAAAACCAATTCAATCTCAAATTGAGCGTCCAATCCTTGTCACACGAATAGGGACATGCTGTTTTAATCTTCGCAGTATCCACAAGTGCAGAGTGGAGGTAGATCTTTGCACGCTGGATTACGCTGGCACCCACGATTGACAATTCGACCACAGGACGGGCACACGAGAACGCGAAGTCGCACGAGAGAGGCGAGGACACATTATCTTTATATGTCTTTCCTAGCACTTGTGGCCTAACCTAGCACGTGTCATCACATCCTCGCACTTTCGCCTTTCCCTCTATCATCTCCCACATATTACGGCGGACCTACTGTGGGACTGCGACACTCAAATCGGCCTGTTCATCAGTATCAGTTTATGTAACATCATGGTAAGCATTTTCTCCGCTGAAGCTGTTTGTACTGTGCTTGCACTGAATTTGAATCTCTGCAGCCCCTCAGCGATCTCGCTACTCTCCCTCAGCTCAATTGCCCTGCGCTCTAAATCCGAAACTCTAAAGGATTGCATCGGGTGGCCAATGCACAGCGGCTGGAGAGCTGGCACCAGCCACTGCTGTAGGCAGTGTAGAATCCTCAGCTTCAGGAGACGGCGCCAAGTTGCGGCTTTGAGCCTGGAACGAGTGGGCCATGAACTGACAACAAGCAGCCCACCCCGGCAAATCTTATCCTGCTCAGCTTCGACAATTCATTTTTCGCCGGCACCGCTCACGGCACTTGGAGCCGTAGAACATGGAGCTTTCGGCACTCGCTCTTCGAGCACCTGCAGAGAGGATCGCATGGAATCGCGAAATCGAAAGAACTCCCACGGCCGCGCCTCCAAACGGAGACAGACCGCCGTAGTCGTCCAGGGCACCTGCTGCGACCGTGGGATCATCCCTGGCCCAAGTCCGGTCGTCACTTCAATCCCAAGGCTCCTTCGAGCAGGTCCCCACCATCTTCACAGAACTGGCCGCTGCCAATGTGCTGGAAGGACACCTCTGGAGGCCCTTCCTGAGCACAGCATAGCACGGCTACGGTACCAGTTTATGTTTTAGGAGCATTATAAGGTGCTCAAGACACGGGCGTTAACGATGCTTCAGGAGACTCTGCTTGCCGAGAGGCCGATGCACCTCGCTGGTGCGTCGCATTGTCAGTGCCGACCCCATCGAGTCCGAGCCCACTAGCACCGCCTGGGCTGCCTTCAAGCATCAGAGACTTCCTTTAAGGTGGGAAGCAGCAGCTGTGAGAGTGCCTGCCAGAGTGGACTCCGTCGCCGGCTCCGTCTGCTGCATCGAGTGCGCAAGGGCAAAAGCAACGCAGGCAACCTGGCCGACACTTCCAAGAGCCACAATGCTGAAGAAAAGCCTAGCTGCGAAGCCTCCTCGCCGGAAGCATCTTTGACCTGAAGCGCTGCTCCCCACTGGCCGGTCATGTTCAGATGGAGCGGCCTCCAGGCGATGACAGATCTGGGGCAATCGCCACTGCAGTCTGTTGACATGCCGTGCCTCCTGACCGAGGCTGTAACCAAGGGCGGCAAAGGACAGTCGGAGATGGTGTACAAGCTGTTGCTGTTGCTGATGCCTTCATGACCTGGGCATCTTTCTGGATTCTGCGAGGGAAGGCGCACTTGACCCACCATCAAGCGTGCCGCAATGGAGGGCCAGTTAACGCCTAAGCTCCAGGCAGTCTGTGGCAGAGTCCTTGGGGCATTTGGGCTCTGGCCCGCTGATGTTGGACCTCGGCTCAAGCAAAAGGAGGAGGCCAGTCGAACCTACAGTATCTCTTTGTGCGGCCCTCACTCCGCTACCCTCTCTCTTGAAATGTGAGGATGCGCTGAGCGTTGAGTGGGACAGGAGGCAGGGTCGGGGTTTTAGAAGCTGGGACCAGACGAGGCCATGCCATGCCTCCCGACATCATGACCATCTTCAAGAGCCATGTATCTGGCAACACCCATGCAACCAACGATGCAGCCGTCAATTTTCAAATTTTGAGAAAGCGACGCTGGCCGGCGTTGGCACTGCGAATCCTGAACGAAGTCGCAGCAGACGTCGTAGCCACGAGTCCGCTCCTTTGCTGAATATGCGGGATTCTCAGCGGGTCACATTTACCATGAGCCTGCAAAACACTGCTCGGTCAGCTACTTTGCCAGAGCAGCTGGGTTTCATCCCCACGGTAGTGGACGGTGCTGGCATTTTTCAAGCCAAAGGCGAAAGTCCAGCTGCCCCCATCGAGCAGCAGCCCACCATGATCCAAGTCGAGTTCAACCTGCAATGATGATGACTGCAAGATTGCACTCAATTGCTCCCATCGGCCAAGCAACAGAGGTGCGGTCCAAACATCAGAATCAATCGGAACCCAGGCTCGCTCGAATCACACAGAACTGACTGGCATGACAGATTCTCGAAGACACCATTTCAGAAGGGGGGGAGTCTGTTTTTTCTTAATTCCGGCTGCTGGATAGCCGATCTTCCAGACAGCGTGCGCAGGGATGTATATGCGTGTGCATGTGCAATTCGCGGCTGCATCTGCAATAAGCTTCCGAGTCGTGAGGTACCAAATTCAAGACTGGCTGTAAGCTTCACTCTTGCTGTGCAAACTCCTTCCTTCAAAGAAGCGTGCCCTGTCCTGGATGTACGGCCAGCCGTCATGCAGCTGTACCTAAAGACAGGCAGCTTTTCAAAGGCACTCCGGCTGGCTGGGTCTAGCTTCTCTGGTTTCACCTGGCTGCATTACCGACAGCAAAGCCCTCCCAAGCACGGCCCAAGTGCGCTTGCATTCGCACGCCGCAGCCGACCACGAGGCCCGTTGCCGAAGGCCAGCAGCTCAGCGGCAAAGGTGGCCCCTGGGACGATCATGTTAGGGCTTGGCAGGTTATTTCATGAGCAGTTGTCTCACTCTTGAAATGCCATGCTCCTTCCCTGACATGTAGAGCCCAAGACTTTCCTGTGTAGCCCCGCAAGAAGCTTCCATGCTCGATGCAGCCCGCGCGCTGAAGACCTGGAAGTGCAAAGGGTCGCGCAGGAAGTTGTCACGCAAAGCCGTAAGGTCCGAAGTAAGCTCGTTACCTCAGAACAGCTCACAACTTCGAGACTTGGAAAGGCGACATCATCATCAAAACCGAGGGTTTATGGTCACGATGGCGTTGTTTGCTGAGATCTCCAGGAAGCCTCTCAACCTCATGGGGTGAGGATCTCAGCTGCGTCCTAGTGTCTTCCGCCCTTGTCTGGATGGTTCTCCAGCGCCAAGCGCCTGTAAGCGCGGCGCAAGCCGTGATCTGAGGTGTCCTCATCATCACTATGCGAACGTAGAACAAGGCAAACAGCATGCTCCTCCACAACTGTCTCCTCCCCAGTGCAGTCGGTAAAGCCCTGCCGCAGGGCTGCCGCGCAGCAAAGCGAGGCCAGCAGAAACGCGCCAAAGCACGAGACCATGGCGTTGGTGCAACGGGAGCATGGGAACTCGTAGACAAGAAATGACTTTTCGTCCCCTTGCGGCTACCGAAGGGCTTAGCTGGGTCCAGGGTACAAGGGTCTGGCATGTCGAGTGGGAAGCGCCCGGGTCTGAATTATGCAAACAGCCTCACAGCCGTGCGCTGGATTCTATCCACGGCTGAGATGTATTTCTATCAGCCCGAGAGGAGTTGCGGCATGCTGGATGTTTTGAAGATGTCCTCCTCTTGATGTTTGGACCACAGTGGCGAGCGTTGGCCGGACACGTCCGGTGAGGAGTCAGGCATGCGTCTATGCCCTGTGGAGCTGGACTACAATAACGCTGATGCTTGTGCATTCCTGGCCCCCAACTATCCGACCAGATACAAGTATCTTAATTTCGCCTTTGTTATACCGTTATACCGTCCAGACAAAACTGTCAGGGAATGCCGCCGTGGCCTCTTGAACGCAAGCAGATTGATAAGTCAGCTGCAGGCAGGGAGAGCAATTTGCTTGAGGTGCTGTTGCTTCCACGGTGGCTGCTCGCAATCACTGCTGACACTTACGGCCGTCCTCACGTAGGCGCCGCGAGTAGTCGTGGAGGCCAGTTCCAGGCAAGCCCACGGGGACGATGAGCTGTGAAGGGCAAGTTTGCTGGACTGCATCACGTGTCTCAAAAGACTCAGTGTGCCGACTGCATCCCTGCACTCACTGCTGACGAAGCCGCAGGTCTGTAGTAGCGGTAACAGGCCACAACAACCATCATGATCAGCAGAAGAATTACGTAACTTCATGATCACATCGCGGCGTCGGCAGATTTTTGATCTTGGCTCGCAGGCTCAAGTCACACGCACGCTGCTGTGTTTTGTGAAACACATTGCACCACAGGGGCGCTTGATAGATCGCTGGAGCCGAAAGTACTGAGTTTACTGATGATCGCAAATCTGCAACTAGTCTTTCTAGGTCTGCCAAAGCATCCAGGCTGTTCGACCTCGAACCATGGACTTTGCCCCTTGCCCGACACAAGACAGCTGGCCCAAGTCTCAGAATGCTGCCTGGCGATTCGCAGCACAAGTGCAAGAGCAACGACCTTTTGCTTTCATAATCTTATCCGCTGCACTGGATGGTGCGAGAAAGTGCGTTTGTGTCCACATGGTCGATCATTTGGAGACAATGCCATGAAGCAGGAGACCCTGCCTAGTAAGGCGTGTTAGGAGGCAACGAGCTTGGTATTCGACCGCCTCGAGGCGGTGTAAGACTCTCGGGCAATGCGCTCATTTCCAACGAAGGCGCAGCATGTCAAGACGTACATGTTGCGAGACCTCTGGCCGTGGCAACTGGGGCGACAGCTGCTTGGACACCCGTCGGGCGACTTCATCTTGCAGGCAGCGCAAGATTGATGAGATGTCATGCCACTTCTGACAGCTCCTGACTTGTAACGGATAAGACCGAGCAGGAGAGCCTGGCAGAGTTGCCCAGAGTTCTGCATCAAGTCGAAAAGGCTTCCAATCTTGGCGACCTTGTCTGCATAACTCTCAACGCTGCTCTGCGGGCGACGGGCTGAGGTTCTAAGTGCATGACCCAAACCTCGCGGGGGTCCTCGGCCTCTCAACGACTCAACGGCCGTCAACTGGCAAACACCAAAGCGAACCAGCAGTCCTCATCCTACTCTGAGGTTAGACCCTACAACAAGGGACCGCCGCAGACCGCAAATTCAGAACCTCGTGTGAAGCCCCTGCGCCTGGCCTTGCACTCCTCCTCCGACATCTTCTCCTCGCAGTAGTCCTCGTGGAGCTGTCTACTTCGACTTCTCTGCTTCGATCCACGATCCCCATAGTGGAAGTAACCCCCAGCCACAAAGAGGTGGGTCAAGATTTCATGCTGGCTCGTTTGGGAGATTTCTGTTGTTCAGTCTTCGGCTCGGTTGAACATGTCACCGTCGGAGAACCTCCACATCTGTCATGCCGTCTGGCCTTCGACTCTGACACCCTGCGAGTTGCCCATCGTGCCAGCTTTAGCAGCTTTAGCACACTCTTGATGCGAAATTTGGGTGACCTGGGTCCGACCGTTTGATAAAGGTATAGGGGGGTAGCGGCAGATGTGATCAAAAGGCAGCCGTGTCCTGACAGCCGTGCTTGCAATAGGCCAGGCAAGCTTGAAAGTGGTCTTGATAGCACTGCTGGCAGGCCTCGCAATGCAAGATAGAGGCTTGAAATCGAGTTACAAGGCACTCCCACGACTTTTGACAGGGCTGGCCAGCGACCCCTTTGATACCTTTGCTTTATATTGCTGCTGTTGGCCTCAAGAAATGCTGTCATTACGTGTTCAAAACTGGCCCATGCAGCGCTTCCATCATATGCAAACCACTCCGAGCTTGCAGATCCATGCAACGTGAGAGCCCATTCTGTTGAGGGCGCCATGCTACCACCCCCAGCATTCTCAGTCGAGTCATAACGAGTCATCATGGAAAAAGCAACCTGCGTCGAACCTCCCCCCAACACGCTGGAAGAGCTCAGCTCACCACGAGAGTGCAGCTGGAGAACTCTTCGACTCTCCCAGAGCTGTCCCTGACAGAGGCCAGCGACGTTGAATCGTCCTCCCTGCTGCTCCTTGAGATCTGTGGGACTTTAAAACACTTAATACTTGACAGACCCGGCCCCGTCAAGTCTTCCTGATGTGGCTACGAAGCGGCATGATCACAGAACTCACGGAACAAGGCAAAAGAAAAGCTGCAGCAACAGCAGCAGCAACAACAAGGAGGACAACGTCACGCCTCAGGTAGCTCAGCACCGGAGGCTCGGCTTTGCCAGCCTGTCATATTGGTTTCTGCGCATAAGATGCACCGAGATGCGCACCCGCGATGACTCCCAGAACCACTCCCAGAACCATGGCTGGGGCAAACGATTATCGTTGTTGCTACAAGTACTGCTCTTGCTTCTTTGTGGTGCTACCAGAATGTCTGATTCTTCTGTCAAGACGCCACGCTGCAAAACAGACGGTCCAGCGAGAACTCCGTGCCTCGGGCACGTCCTTTGAATCGCTGCTTGGCCTGCACAGGCGTCACACTGCTCTTGGCACTCTTGCACTCTTGTGAATTCTTGTCACGACGACGATTGCAATTCGACGACAATCGTGACGACCAGGCGACGGTCACGGCAACAGCTACGGCGGGGACCATGACGCCGAGCCGTCGCATGCTTGGAGGGCCCGGACATGCATCGACTTCCGTCGCACCGCAGACTGTCTGGCGAAGCCCTTCCTGTGGCGTCCGAGCTGTAAAACTTCATGCGTAGGCCCAACCCGACTTCATCTGAATCCCACAGAGAATACGAGAACGCTAAAGCCTCATGACATCGACGAACGAGGAAGATGAGGATCAGGACGAGCTTGAGGATGATGATGATGATGGTGGTGATGATGATGATGATGAAGATGAAGATGATGAAGATTATTATGATGATGACGATGACACAGCATATGAGCACCAGGGCCCAATGGTGATGGCTACAGTCACGAGTCACAACATCATCAAATGAGTACAAGTTAACGAATCAACAGCGAAAGTGTGAAAACCGACTGTTCAAAAACTCGACGTCCAGGTCTGTAGGGCCCGCCGAGAAAACCCACTTTTATTGAATTAGGGGGCTGTCGGCCAGTCGCAGGGCTGGCAAACCTGGGCTCGGGTTTTGATCGACCGCGCAGCCGGGCAGTGAAGAGCGAACTCCCAGAGCCACACCTCGCAACCTCCTCAGATCGAAGCCCCACCATGCTCAAGCCACAGAACGAAAGGGACTGCCTCAACTCCTCTCCGGCCAAAGCGTGAGAATCCCGAACTCGAGGTTGACAAACCCAAGGTATCAAAAGACACAGCATAAACAGAAGTTGAAAGAATGACGCAGTCAAACTAATATAGTGAGCCTGCTGGGCGAACGCTCTTCCAGCAGCTCACGCGAGGAGATGAGCCCTGATGGAGTCGCCATCAATTCGTGTAACATGTAACATGTGCGTTCATCACTCGGGCTTCGAGGCTTAGAGTTCGGAAGTGTCAAAGTCGACAGGGGGGCAATGATTTTGCCGGGTTGCGGGGAGTTTGGGTCCTGGGATCTGCAGTTTGAGAGTCTGTACCGGCTGTGGTCTGCGCCATCCGTAAACCCTCCAAGTTGCTCTTAGGCCAAGACATGCACGGACCCAACTGGTTCCTGTAGATACTTCGTGAGGACAGCTACACAGCGCAGCATGGTCTGTCCCAGCATCCCCAGCTCATGGCAGCAAACTTAACGGCCTCCGGCTGCAAGATCCCACACCACGGTTCAGCTCTCGGCGCCTTCTGCGGGCTCCAGCCAGACCCAGAGGAAAGCAATGTACACCTTGCGCAGCAGACTGGACTTGAAAGCACCCAAAGCAGAAGCCAGGAAGCTTTCAAAATTGCCGAGAGATGCCTCTCGGGAGGGTTGAGACTTGGACCTTGCACTTAGCACTTCCAGACCCCAAAGCTCTAAACCTCGATAACTTCACTCCCAGGCTCCTGGCCCGAGGCACGTAGCCACCCTCTCAGACTGTAAGATAACGGACGTCAGGGAGAATGGCCCTTGCCGACCGCCACCGACCCAACCCAAGAGTCCGCTGTGTTCCCCTGCTTTACTTCCAATCTCAAACACCCAAGGCCCAAGGCCCAGACGGGGCTCCACATTCTGGCGCAGGCCGCCCCAGGCCTGGAAAAGCCAAAGAAATTGGGTTTCCTCCACAATGAAAGGCAACCTTCTAACACGGATCCTATGATTTGACTGAAGCAGCTAATGCCTTTTCCGGGGGGGGTCCCTTACTTGCCGTAATTCCTTATCGGCAGAACAAACTTGAATGGAAACGCTTGAGATGTTGCGTGTCCGACACACAGTAAACAACGGCCGGTGTGCAGCGAGAACACTCGCACCCTCCGACGACTGCTTCAGCGGCCTCGCGGTGGCGCCAGAAAGGCTCTTCAATGTCCTTACAATGCACCAGCTGCGCCAATATGGTGCTCATGGCCTGATCGCTGCGACCACTGACCTTCTTGCTCATTGCAGCAGAGTGACTCAGAACATGTGCGCAGACTTCGGCCAAGCGCTTGGAACTCGCGCACTTGGAGCCAAATATCAAGGCGAACAGCATCAGTCAGTGTGGCATTTGCGGTATTAGTAAAGTTCAGCCTGCCGAGAACGCTCGTCAGGGCCAGATGCATTTCATGCACAGCCGCACCACAGGCAATGTCGCGTGACTGACACTCCTCGCTACACTCTCTGCCTTCACACGCAAGGGATGCGGCATGTGGTTGGCAGCAACATGCGGCCGAGCCTCTTTCTGCTTCGATCTGCAGACACCTTGAAAAACCATAAATCAAGCACTTGAAGTCTATCTTTGACGGATACCATGGAGCTAGAGCAGCTAGAACGACCAGCCGTCGCAATAACTTCACACAGTTCTCATCTGGATTACAGGTCCTGCAAACTCTGCCTCACCCCAACGGTCACGCAGTGCAACAGGCATTGAAGCCAAAGATGCTGCAAAGCCAAAGCAATTTGTGCGCCATGGGAGCAAGGCAGCAAGAAGAGCAAAAGCTCCGAGCTACTCGCAGGTCTGTTGACTGTGGACATGACGAGGCGGCTGTTGGGTCATAGCCCCACAGCATGGGCCAAAGATGCCATCCCTAGCTCCAGAAATAGAGTGTCCAGCATGGGCTACTGTGCCGTGTCGTCGTGAAATAAACTACCAGTACCTCTGTCGGAGCTGACTAGAAGTTAGACAGTCGTAGCGACTATTGATTACTGTGGCACTTGTGGCCATCTGGCATCGTGCCTTGGGAAAGACCGTCTCAGAAGAAGCAAGCATAGAAGCGAATTCTAGGATGAAGGACGACTCTACGGCTGCGCAAAGAGCTTTGTGCAAATGCGTTGAAGATGTGCTCCCTGCCCAAGGCGGTCCGACAAGCACTTGAGAAGGCCCCACTGCATTTACAAAGACCAATTGCCAATCACTTCAGTGAGAGGCCGAAGCTGGCAACGACTACAAACACCAGCCGTTGCAATGATTCGGCTAGCTACATAAGCCGGCTGCTCTGAGCCGAGCACCACCTACGCGCATGAGACTCGCGGCACAGCAAGCGCTTCGCGCATCCAAAATAGTAAGAGACTACGATGGCTGTGGTACAACATTCGGCAGTTGCCAGCTGGGTCACAAGCAATTCTTGAACGAAAAACTTCCTGAAGCTCCATCAGGATGGTGAAGGAAGAAATGGAGGTGACAAACGATTTGCTTGAGCAAGCAGCAACGGTAACAAGGCAACCCTACTGCAATTGAGTTCCGTCGTGATTCCAGGATATGTCTGGCCGGTTCCTGTGCTGCTCGGCAAGCAATCTTATGTACAAATGGATACATGCCGTCTCTCGATGTGCCGGGATGGACCAAACGTCCCTTCTCCTCGACACTGGTTTTGTCTCGAAGCCCTTGCGGAGGCCATTTCGTTCCGCGCCCGCAACCATCAATAGCCCGTTCTCGCCATAATGCCCAATTTATCCTCGACATGCGATGTCAAGCTGTCTTCTCAGGGTGCGTTGCACCCTGCAGAGCGCGCGTCTTGTGCTCCTCCTGAAAACTTGTCTCCTTAGCTACCACCAAGCTGCATCGGTGTATCTGCATTCTCACACTTATCACATGTTGTGACGATGCCGCTATTGCCCGATGCAGTGCTTCCCTCTCGAGAAAGCATCACCTTTGCATGGCGTTTCTCTGTTAGAAGAAGAAGAGTGTGTCGGTGGGAACTACTAGCCAGTCATCTTTGTACCTAAATCTCACTCCGACAAAGTCCTCACCCCACCCTACAAGCTTCAAAAAAAATAGCTCCAAGGTTCAGTGATGGAGTCCTGTGAAGTTATCACCTCCAAGATCCCCAGCTCACGGGGGATCTTGTACGGATCGTAGGACATCTCATCGATGAGAATCTGACAAGCGTGTGGAGGCCGAAAATTCGCAAGAGTAAAGGTCAAGGTGGCTTTGGCCTTACTTGGCAACAAGTTAGAGCCCACCTTCTGCCTTGAGTGGCATGTGAAGGAGATCGCTGTCAAGTGCCTAAGGCCTAAGACTCTACAGTATTCGCTTATATCCAAAACGCCTTGGATCCGGCTTGAAAGAGACATTGGCCCAATGATGCTCCATCTTGTCTACACCCGAAGCTTCATCCTTGGACACTTGATCAAGTGCAGAGGAAAGCCTCGCAACTTTGCCTGACAATTCACTTACGCCTCGCCTTGCCGCAGTCAGTGACCTTGTCCACGGAACCGGTGACCACCTGCAGTAAGAGAGATATCGCACACTATTCCGGAGCATGCAGTCAGCTCTGCAGTGCGACAGCAGTGAGACTGCGGCGTCGAAACTGCCGGCCTTCTTGATGCAAAGCGCCTGAATCAAGTCCTCAAGGGCCACTACTTGTGCCAAGCGAGGCTTCCCGGTCAAGGCAACTCTCTGAACGTCCTGCGGAACCACCCATGGAGCATCCTTCAGCACAAAAGACCTCAGTCACAGCAAGCGAAAGCCCGTCGCATCGGGAACACGATCTCAGCAACTGTCCGCTGCCGACCAAGTGGCACAAATCGGTTCTGGAGAATCCGACCAAGGCGAGTCCCAAAGTTCTCATGGCTCGGCTTTCCGAACAAGTCGTTCCTTGCACGGCCATCGGGGGCAGGCCGGGCAAGGACATCATCGCGAAAAACTGCCCAAAACTCCCAAAGCCTCAAGGTCAAGGCAAGCTACAGCGTGGCATCAGAGTGGATGCCGACGAGGACGTGAGACCCACGTTGCTTCGCCTCCTGAGGGGATTAGACCACTGATATGTAGGAGCCTGATTAAGAAACCCCTGGGCCGCCAACCCCAAAATAGTGGGTTCCTTTCAGGAACCCTATAGATAAAGGCCCAAGGTTTCTGAATCAGGTTCCTACATTATCAGTGTCACACGGCACCTGACAAACCCAAAGCGCCTGACGACTACCCATGCTATCTATATATATATATATATATCCTGCAGTACCCATACTGAGGAATATATCATAATTCCCATTGTTTAAGGTCCTTAAGGTAATGCAGGATTTATATCACAACCGTAACCCCTAAGGTGCTTGGACTTCAAGAAACCCAACCACAGTGGTTTTGTCCCATGCGTGATCGTCCTAGCCTCAGTTGTTTGTCAGATTCTCGGAAAACCCCTTGAATTAAAGATGACAGCTCACAGTATTGCTACCGTGACTGATACGGCTAAGTGCCAACCACTCATGAGACGCATCGCGTGACGAAGCCCAAAGTGGTAAAGTCGCCCTGCTCCCCGCCCCCGCCGCTCCCGGAGGATGCGCTGGTGCCCTGGATGGAAGAAGTTCCAGGCGCCGTCGACCTGGAATGGAGGCGTTGACTTGGTGTTTTAGTGTCGGAGTCGGGGCTACAGCTGCTAGAGCCGTCCCTCCGGACAACCACCTGGAGCAGGTGGCTAAAAAACCCGAGGGTACTTGTTAGCCGCTAGAACCCGGTGCTTGGTCGACAGCAATGCAGGCAAGAGGCATAGACCACATCGTCGCAGTCCCACGGAGATTCTGTCGTACCTGGCGATGTATTAAATTGATTCGCCCTACTTGCAACAAGTTCGTAGCTGGCAGAATGAGCACGAAAGCTCCTTGGCACGGCATGCACTCATTCTCTTTGCTGGCTTGAAGTCCAGATTCTAGATTGCCTGTGAAGGAACCCCTGTTCCCCCTTCACAGCACCTTCTGCGAGCTCCACCAACTCCGGCCAGATTGAGCCACTTAATGCCTGCAAAGAATGTGAGCTTCAGCTTCTAGGCTGGCGGCCCTGAAACGGAATGGTTGCCAACTAATTCTCGGAGGAGCTGGAATTCATCACCTCCTACCATAGATGCCACCTTACGGGAACTACAATGCAGATGCTCCCAAAACTTGGCATACTGTGCCTGCAGAATGCTGCAGATACAATAAATGGAGCGCGTGATGATTGCCGTTCGTACTTTGATTCCTGCACATTGCCATATCTATCTTCACCACCAATGTCAGCACCAGCATCAGCACCATCATCATCAACACAACAATCACGCAAAAACGCGATCGCCAACAACATCATCAAGATCACAATCGTCACCACCACCGCCGCCACCACCACTGCAGCATCGTCTCCACGATGTTCATCACCATCAGCAGCAACAGCATGTTGCCATTATCGCCTAGCGCCTTCATCATCAAATCACCACCATCATCGTATCATTCAGAAAAAGAACGGGACGGCCGTCCCAAGCGTACGTGTCATCATCTTCCGCAGGCTGGCAGTGAAAGTATTGTGACTGCGCTGGTTTTGCATGATGTGCTCGGCCTCGCACAATTCAGCCGGCCTCGTTCGGCGATGCAGTCGCCTGGAGCTGTTTCGGCGGCTCGACGAGTTCACCTCCAACTCCTGAGTCGAGAGCACGGGGAGATTCCGGAGAGCGGAGGCTTCCAAGACGGCCCAAAGTGAGCTGTTGTGCGCTTCGGTGAACCCGGAAATGACGGCCTACCAACACTGAAGGGCACAATACTCTGAGCAACCTGGCACCTAGGACCTAGAAGACTGCTTACCGTGCATGCACAGCTCAGAGGCACCTATACAGTTTGCGTTTTACCGCGTGGAATCTCACACAGGACGTCCAAGAGGACGGATGGACGTGGGTGGATGGATGGACGGATGGATGGATGGACGGACGTATGGATGCATGCACGGATGAAGGGATGAATGAATGGATGAATGGATGAATGGTAGGGCCAAAGCCAGACATAGGTATAGAAACGGCCGTAGCCCAAGCTAGGTAGATAGATAGATCGATAATAGGTAAGTAGGGACAGAGAGACGGGGAGGGAGAAACAGGAGAGAGAGAGAGAGACAGAGAGAGAGAGAGAGACAGAGAGAGAGAGAGAGAGAGAGAGACAGAGAGAGAGAGAGAGAGAGACAGAGAGAGAGAGAGGGAGAGAGGGAGAGAGGGAGGGAGGGAGAGAGGGAGAGAGACAGGGAGAGATGGAGAGACAGAGCTTATGAGATCCATGGAGGAAGGGGACTGGACATGCGTCTCACAAAAAATCAGACTATTACATCTTACTGACAGTCCTCCAAATATTCAACAACCGGGCTGCTGGAAAGGGCCTGCAAGACTATTTCGACCCTTCGTTTTGTTGGAAATCCGGCCAAGGTGCGAATGGCGAAGCGGTGGCACTCGAGCGAAGCAAAAGCGATCACCATCATGTTCGGATTCCTTGCTGCGTCAGCGAGCTTTGAAGAACCGCCAAAACACGTTCCCATCACGAACCAACTTGTTGGTCAGTGAGTTCCATACCAGCAGCGCGCACTCCACAGGAGGCTCGGACGGCAAAGGCTCAGGGCCCTAGCCTCCCAAAGTCCTAAAGTTCCAACCCCGCGCCCGATACTGAAATTAAACCTCGACCTCCTCGTACTGCCAGTATTGCCTGTACTGCAACGGTACCAGTGCTGCTTGGGATGCTCTTGCCGGAGCTTGCTGAGCCAGCTCTGGCACACCTTCGGACTTTGCTCTCAGGGTGTCTGTTGTAGGGCTACGGGCAGCCGAGGATTGTGAAGGGCTTGGGCATGTTGCGACAACCGTGCAGTACCTGCACACTGCAAGCAGGTGAAGCTGGCAAAGCGCGCCTCACAGGGCCAGAGTGGGTTCAGCTTGTCCTTGGTGTTTAGCAGCTTCTCTGTTGGCAAGGAACCATGCTGGCACGAAGAGCATTCAGAAGCGATTGCGATTATTCTGGCGAGCATCTGCTGGGTCCAGCGTGGCAATGAGGGCAATATCTTTCGCCTTGATCTTCGTGCACAAGAGTCTCGCTACCAGAATTGCCATCATTGGTGCTTGGATTCCTGCCTCAAGAACTGTCGCCCTGGCCTGCCGAACGACTCCAACTTGAGTTTCCTGTCCTCTCAATTCTCAACGCTCCTCTCCTGCCCCACGACCTGCGAAAGCAATCCCGCTAAACTTTGGAAGTCTGTTAATGGCTGACAGGCGCTCATCAATGTGGAAAAGAAGCACCGAAAGAATGCCCGTTGCCGCTGGAGTCACGTGGCGGAAGTCGCTGGCGGCCCCTTAATCCAGCGATTCAGCCCCTCTCTCCTCTCGAGATCATCTGTCGAGGCAGGATCCCTGCTGCCCAGCTGCTGACTATCGCAGCCCGCTCAGCGCAAACAGATCCCGACGGAAGGCTGACCTCGGTCCACGCGAGCTCGACAGCACGGGGACATCGCGGCTTGGAACTAACCTCACTTCTTTGAACTCGAGGGGTTCGGTGGTTTTCTTCACACGGGGTGGCCTTGGCCTTTCTTCAACATCCTGCGAGCCTCCAAAAGCTACTTCAGCTTCCTGGTCTCTCACAAGCATGCCGACTGCCCCCCCAAAAATGAGACATTGAGGGCACGGAGCTCAGGGACCAGACGAGATGCCTTATTTCGGTGTCTCGGGCCTACCTTCACGACACTCAGTTCAGCAACCACGCAAGTGCTAGGACTGATAGTAAAGCTGCAGCAGTAATCAATCATCGTCCATTGTCACTGGTAGCAGCATGCCCAGTTTTCTCGAAGCAAAGGACAACCCCGAGTGTAACCGGGGCGAGGAGTGAGTGCAACCCTTCATTCACAGCTGCCGCACCTCTGTGTTCATCCCATGGTATGTACACCAATCTCCACTCTCGCCTTCAGTGGCACTTCAGGGTGCACAAGAATGTTGAATCCCAAGCATATAGTGAAATTACGTGCTTGACTCGAGCATCAAAAAATCCCCGTCCTAACATAGACATACCGCTTTGCCTGGACTCGCTTGATGGCGAAAGATGGTATGGCTGGGAAGGGCCGAGCGACTGCGGCAAAGCAAGATGGAGAGCACGGCTTTGTTGGA